AGTCTCACTCTGTCACCCAGCCTGGAGTGCAGTGGCACAATCTCAGCTCACTGCAACCTCTGTCTCCTGGGTTCAAGCAATCCTCCTGCCTCAGTCTCCTGTGTAGCTAGGACTACAGGTGCACGCTGCCATGCCCAGCTAATTTTTTTTGTATTTTAGTAGAGATGGGGTTTCACCATATTGCCCAGGCTAGTCTCAAACTCCTGACCTCAAGTGATCTGCCCACCTCAGCCTCCTAAAGTGTTGCAATTATAGGCATGAGCCACTGCACCCACCCTAAGCCAAATTTAATGTTTACAGATACCATCCAATAAAAAGTGTACAGATTTCCTATATCACTCTTCCTAGTACTACCAACCCACTTGTTTTACCAATCAAAGTAAACTTGTGCAACATTATCTGCTTTGCTTTATGCTGTGTTTTCAGGCCACTTACCAGTTTATGCAGATTAATTCTAAAATTCTATTTTCTTCCAAGACAGGCCTTATTTACAAATGTGATCAAACTCTCTAAGCCCGATCATTGATAAAATGTAAAATAAAGCCAGATTTGGCAAGGCACAGTGGCTCACACCTGTAATCCCAGCATTTTGGGAGGCCAAAGCAGGCAGATCATGAGGTCAAGAGATCAAGACCACCCCAGCCAACATGATGAAACCCATCTCTACTAAAAATGCAAAAATTAGCTGGGTGTGGTGGCATGCACCTGTAGGCCCAGCTACTCAGGAGGCTGAGGCAGGAGAATCACTTGAACCCAGGAGGCAGAGATTGCAGTGAGCCAAGATCACACCACTGTACTCCAGACTGGCAACAGAGAGAGACTCCATCTCAAAACAAAAATGCAAAAATTAGCCAGGCATTGTGGTACACACCTGTAGTCCTGGCTACTCAGGAGGCTGAGGCAGAAGAATCGCTTGACCCTGGGAGGTGGAGGTTGTGGTGAGCTGAGATCATGCCACTGCACTCCAACCTGGGCAACAGAGGAAGACCCCGTCTCAAAAAGAAAATACTAAGCTGTATGTATTTCCCTACTGCCAATTATGGGGAGAAGTAGCTTTATTTCATTTCCTGCTATCGCCTTTTCTCTTTGACCCATAACGGTCTCTATTATGTTTATACTATTATTGGTAAAGTGAATAGTTTCTTTTTTTGTTTTTGTTGTTGTTGTTCGTACAGGGTCTCACTCTATCACCCAGGCTGGAATGCAATGGCGGGATGATGGCTCTTTGCAGCCTCCACCCGCCCCAGCTCAACTGATCCTCCCACCTCAGCCTCCCAAGTAGCTGGGACCACAGGCATCCATCACCACACCCGGCTATTTTTTTTTTAATTTTTTATAGGGTCTCCCTATATTGCCCAGGCTAGACTTGAACTCTTGGCCTCAAGCAATCCTCCTGCCTCCGCCTCCCCCTCCCAAAATACTGGGATTACAGGCATGAGCCACTATGTCTGACAGTGGATATTTTCCATTTGTGAATTCTCCTTTGGTATTGTCCACTTAAGAGTAACCTGAAGGTATAACAAATGAAGTGTGTTAAATTTTAAAGAACGATTCTACTCAATAGAGACCATAAATGGAAGGGAAGGGGTGTTCCTCATCAGCAGGTCAAAAACATAACATGGGAATCTTTACAGGCAGAGCAATTTTTCCTTGTTTAAATCTTTGGCCAGATGCAGTGGCTCACGCCTATAATCCCAACACTATGGGGGTCTAAGGCAGGAAGACTGCTTGAGCCCAGGAGTTTGAAGCCCACCTGGGTAACACAGGAAGACCCCGTCTCTAGAATAAATTTTAAAAATTAGCCAAGTGTGATGGCGCATGCCTGTAGTCCCAGCTACTTGAGACAGACTGAGGAGAGAGGATTGCTTGAGCCCAGGAGGTTGTGGGTATAGTGAGCCATGATCATGCCACTACACTCCAGCCTGGACCACAAAGTGAGACCCTGTCTCAAAAAAAAAAAAAAAAAAAAATAGTAAGTTTTTTAAAATAAATATTTGATTAAAACAAGTTAAAGCGCCGGGCGCAGTGGCTCACGCCTGTAATCCCAGCACTTTGGGAGGCCGAGGTGGGTGGATCACAAGATCAAGACCATCCTGGTCAACATAGTGAAACCCCGTCTCTACTAAAAATACAAAAAAATTATCTGGGCATGGTGGCATGTGCCTGTAATCCCAGCTACTCAGGAGGCTGAGGCAGAATTGCCTGAACCCAGGAGGCAGAGGTTGCGGTAAGCCGAGATGGCGCCATTGCACTCCAGCCTGGGTAACAAGAGCGAAACTCCGTCACAAAAAAAAAAAAAAAAAAAAAAAAGACAAGTTAAAGCATTTTTAATTTAATAATTATAAATTATTAAATAATAATAAATTATCCCAATGGTGTAGTGTTAAAAATAAGGATGAGGAGGCTGGATGCGGTGGCTCACGCCTGTAATCCCAGTACTTGGAAAAGCTAAGGTGGGTGGATCGCCTGAGGTCAGGAGTTCGAGACTAGACTGACCAACATGGAGAAACCCCCGTCTCTACTAAAAATACAAAAAGAACTAGGTGTGGTGGCACATGCCTGTAATCCCAGCTACTCAGGAGGCTGAGGCAGGATAATCGCTTGAACTTGGGAGGTGGAGATTTCGGTAAGCCGAGATCACACCATTGCACTCCAGCCTGGGCAAGAAGAGCGAAACTCCATCTCAAAAAATAAAAATAAAAAAATAATAATGATGATGAGGAGGAAACAAAAGCTGGGCTCTTCTAAATGATCCATATTCTGCATTCAAGATTTAAATATGTATTCATCTGTGCCAGTCAGACAAAACAAGGGGCCACACATCAACAGAACATTAGAAAGATTAATCTTTGCAGGGCAAGAAAAAATTTGTAAAGTATTTATCACCATGAGAAAATATTTCTCTTAGAAATGACAGACTAGCCGGGTGCAGTGGCTCAAGCCTGTAATCCCAGCACTTTGGGAGGCTGAGGCGGGTGGATCACGAGGTCAAGAGATCGAAACCATCCTGGTCAACATAGTGAAACCCTGTCTCTACTAAAAATACAAAAAATTAGCTGGGCATGGTGGCATGTGCCTGTAATCCTAGCTACTCAGGAGGCTGAGGCAGGAGAATTGCCTGAACTCAGGAGGCAGAGGTTGTGGTGAGCCGAGATCGTGCCATTGCACTCCAGCCTGGGTAACAAGAGCAAAACTCCATCTCAAAAAAAGAAAAAAAAAGAAATGACAGACTATTATTCACTAATTATTGATCACCTACACAAAGCTAAGCACTGGGAATATGTGATAAACACGTATGTGTGTTCTGCCCTCAAAATGCCTTACAGAAATCCCAAACTTCTCTTTTACAACATGGAATTGATGAAATGGTTTCAGGTTCAGGTAAGATTGTGTGAATTCCTGCTGATCATGTAATTATCTAATATTCTCACTCAAAATTTAAATTCAACTGGCAGTATAATATATTAGAAATTCAGGCCAGGTGCAGTGGCTCACGCCTATAATCCCAGCACTTTGGTAGGCCAAGGCAGGAGATCACTCATGTCAGGAACTCAAGATCACCCTGGACAACATGGCAAAACCCCTGTTTGTACAAAAAAACACACTAGCTGGGCATAGTGGCACATGCCTGAAGCCCCAACTACTCAGGAGGCTGAGAAGGGAGGATGGATTGAGCTCAGGAGACTGAGGCTGCAGGGACCTCTGATGGCACCACTGCACTCCAGTCTGGGCAACAGAAAGAGACCCTGTGTTAGACAAAAAGAAATTCAAACTCTTCCATATCATATTTTATTTACTTTTTTATTTATGAAACGGAGTCTTGCTCCGTTACCCAGGCAGGAGTGCAATGGCACAATCTTGGCTCCCTGCAACCTGCACCTCAGCCTCCCGAGTAGCCGAGACTACAGGCGCCCACCATCACCCCTGTCTAATTTTTGCATTTTTAGTAGAGACAGAGTTTCATCATGTTGGCCAGGCTGGTCTCAAACTCCCGACTTCAGGTGATCTCCCTGCTTTGGCCTCCCAAAGTTCTGGGATTACAGACGTGAGCCACTACGCCCCGCCCCGTATCATATTTTAAATAACACACTCAAGCACGCTCATCTAGGCTCAGGAAGAAGCCGGGTCATAAAGTCAGCTTCCCAGGATTCTTGGAATCTCCTATTCTGTACAAATGGAACAAAAAGACGCCAAACCGATGTATTTTACTGAGTTACGCTGAGGCAATGTAAATTAATTCAATCTATTGAAGTATACCAAAAAACAACATTGTAATCAATTAAGACAACTTAGGTCTCAAGGCTAAGGCAACACCGCCTCGAAACTCTTTCCTGGAAACACTAAATCTCGGTGTGGCTGTTGAGGAAAGAACACCCTATGGAAATAAAGTCATGATGTCCTGGACTACAAGATCCCTCCCTCATCTGCTCCTTGGCTGTTCTGTTAGGAAGAAAAAACTCTATCGCGTAGAGTTGTCATTATCGATTTAGCCCAGTGCTAACTTTAAATGTATTGTTTTATTCAATCTTGACACTTGGAAACAGGCATCCTCATGCCACTTTACAGATGAAGAAACTGAAGTCGAGAGACGTTTAAAAACTGGCCCAAGGACTCAACACAGTTTCTAATTGACACTCAAACCCTTGCTGAACGCGCCAAGTGCCTTGGGGAGTATATGAAGCGATGTGTGTAACCGTGAAGAATTCGCTAAACAGCCCTGGACTTCCGTTTCCTCGCCATCCAGAGGAGTCTCGGCGCCAAGGAGATCAGCGCTGCCACCCCCAGCCTGCAGCCAGCACAGCTGGCGGAGCCCCCCAGGACAACGGCAGGACGGAGCGGGGGACCTGGCTTGGAGCCCAGCGCTGAGGCCCGACCACGAAAAACGCCATGCGATAAGGAAACAAAGCCCAAACCGTGCGCCACCGTGACCGAAGGCAAAGGCGGCAGGACGACCAGCTCAAGGCCGCGTTTCCCAGGAAACTGGACCAAACTCAGCTCACCTCCGGCCGGATTCGCGGGCTGGCACCTCCCCTTCACTCAGTGCCTCCGTCGCCATCTTCGTCAGCAAACTTCTTACACCGCCCCCCCTTAGGTCCCGCCCCCACATCTTTGGATTGGCTAATATGTTTTCACCTCTTCCGTGCGGTTGGATGACTCGACCGCCCCTCCTCAACCTGAACCGTTTAATATATTATTGGTCTATTCAAATAACTAACTATCATTGGTCGTTCCCAGCCCTGGCGGAAAAAAAGGGAGGGGCGGGGAAGACGACCCAGCCCCGAGGCCTGCAGGGAGTTGTAGTTTCTCATTTTGATTAACCCTTCCGATTCCATCGACTTTTAGGTTCAAGTCAGAAATCACCAGCCTACGTTCAAATTTTGTCCTGATATGTAAATCTCGGAATTATAGAGCTGTCGACTGTAAAAGTGACTCGTCACTTTCTAAAATACAACACTCCATACCTGTATCTTATCATCACGCAATATACCTAGATAACAAACCTACCCATGTACCCCCAAATCTAAAATGAAAGTTGAAAATAAATAAATAAATTTTCTTATGTATTTATTTATTTGCATGTTTTGTAGAGACAGCGTTTCACCATGTTGCTCGGGCTGGTCTTGAACTCCTGAGCTCAAGCAATCCTCCCACCTCAGCCTCCCAAAGTGCTGGGATTACAGGCATGAGCCACAGCTCCCAGATATTAATTAATTAATTAATTTAAGGCAAGACATTCTCTGTTTTAACCCAGAGAGAAATTCCTCAAGATCAGACAGGGAGTGGCAACCTAGAAGTACTTGCTTTTAAATGTGAAATATGTGCAGTAGAGTTTAGTGAAAGGAGTATAAACCCTGTCTCTACTCAAAATACAAAAATTAGCAGGGCATGGTGATGCATGCCTGTAGCTCCAGCTACTCAGGAGGCTGAGGCAGAAGAATTGCTTGAAACCGGGAGGCAGAGGTTGCAACGAGCCGAGCCAGCTACTGGTGACGCAAGAGAATTGCTTGAGTCCAGTTCTGTGCTGCAATGCACTATGCCTATGGGGTGTCTGCACTAAGTGTGGCATCAATGTGGTGACCTCCCAGGAGTGGGGGCCACCAGAATGCCTAAGGAGAAGTGATACAGCCTAGGTTGGAAGCAGAATATATCAAAAACCCCATGCTGGCTAGGCATGGTGGCTCACAAGACCAGCCTGACCAACATGGTGAAACCCGGTCTCTATTAAAAATAGAAAAAAATTAGCCAGGCGTGGTGGTAGACACCTGTAATCCCAGCTACTCAGGAGGCTGAGGCAGAGGCAGAGGTTTCAGTGAGCTGAGATCATGCCACTGCACTCCAGCCTGGGCGACAGAGTGAGACCTGGTCTCAACAGAAACAGGGAAAAAAAAAAAAAAAAAAAAAAAAACCCTATGAAGATCAGTATTGGAATTGTGCCTGTTAATCACCACTGTACTCCAGCCTGGGCAACACAGTAAGACCCTGTCTCTAAAATAAATAAGGAAATAAAAGAATGCGAAACTCCCTTCTCTCCCTTCTCAGATAACACTTGGCTTATCTCCATGGCTATGTGATAAGGACCACACATTACATCATGGTTACAGTTTAATCAATTACTCAAGAGAGAAGAGTGTTTCTCTTCAAAACCAACTGTTCTGCTGTGACTTCTGATTAAAAGCAAATATCATTTCTGATTAACAGCAAATATCATTGCTGAGTGCTGTAAAAACACAAACTCAGCTGACAAGCCTGCACACCTTTGTTTCTGCAAGGGTATCATGACTTCTCTGAAGTTATCCTTACTCTATCTAGGTACAGATTGTCAGCCTGGTGCTAAGTATGTTCAGCAGGAATTCAAGACAGTTCAGAAAGTCATCTTGTTTTCAACAGTCTAGTTGAACAAAAGGTCACAGAAAGGTGGCCCCAGCCTCAAGCAGTTTACAATAGACTCAGGAAGACACACATATATAAGTCACACACCACAGAAGATAGTTTAGAATTATGGGGCTTGGTGGGGGGGGCTAAATACAAAGCGGGGAACAGACTCCTAGGAATTTGGAAGTCCAGAGAAGGGAAGAGGCCAGGACCATCAGGAGGGTTTAGGAGCAAACCCATGGACTTGAGTCAGCCGTGAATGTCACTACAAATCCAATTACCTACCCCACAATACTGCAAGCTTTGGGGGCAGAAGTGGTGTTCTAATCATCTTTGTTTTTCCAGGCTCTCACCTCCATGGCAGGAAAGCAGGGAGGGAGGAAAGCCGGGAAGGAAGATCTGCCCCTGACCCCACCTCTAACTTCACCCTTCAACAGTGAAAATGACTCACAGCCCTCGGTGCATCTTTCTGTTTTATACTTTCGTATACTCTGCCCTCTGTTTAAATTAAAGCAACATTTTTTTTACTTTTTCTTTTTTTTTTTTTTTATTTTTTGGATGAAGTCTTGTTCTGTCGCCCAGGCTGGAATCTCAGGTCACTGGACTACAACTTCTGCCTCTCAGGTTCAGGCGATTCTCCTGCCTCAGCCTCCTGAGTAGCTGGGACTATGGGCACACACCACCACTCTCAGCTAATTTTTGTATTTTTAGTAGAGACAGGATTTTACTATGTTGGTCAGGCTGGTCTCGAACTCCTGACCTCAAGTGATCCGTCCACCTCAGCCTCCCAATGTGCTGAGATTACAGGTGTCAGCAGCCACCACACTGGGCCTAAAGTAGGACATTTGGATGCCCACATCAAAATACAAAAGCATCATGTGCACAGCAAGCATTTCTGAGCCTTACATCAGTTTCAAATCTTGTTAGGGATGGGGTGAGGGTACCTACTGATATCTTTAAAAATGAAAATCTAGGCTGGGCACAGTGGCTCACATCTGTAATCCCAGGACTTTGGGAAGCTAAGGCAAGCAGATCACATGAGGTTGAGAGTTTGAGACCAGCCTGACCAACATGGAGAAACCCCGTCTCTACTAAAAATACAAAATTAGCCAGGTGTGCTAGCACATGCCAGTAATCTCAGCTACTCAGGAGGCTGAGGCAGGAGAATCACTTGAGCCCGGGAAGCGGAGGTTGTGGTGAGCTGAGATGGCACCATTGCCCTCCAGCCTGGGCAACAAGAGCTCTTCTTTTCATATTGTTTAATTACACGAGTAATACAGAAAGATATTTTTATCGTTAAAAAAAAACTCAAATAATTTGGATAAAAATTTACCCTTGTTTACATTCTAGTCCCTCCGCTAAGAAACCACTATTTTCAGTTTTACATGTGTCCTTCCAGATCTTTTTCTATATAATATATTAACTCAACAAAGATTTATTGAGTGTCTACTATATGCCAGGCACTGTTCTAGGCCTGGGAATATAAGTATAAACAAAAAAAAAAAGGTTTTGGGCCGGGCGCGGTGGCTCAAGCCTGTAATCCCAGCACTTTGGGAGGCCGAGGCGGGTGGATCACGAGGTCAAGAGATCGAGACCGTCCTGGTCAACATGGTGAAACCCTGTCTCTACTAAAAATACTAAAAATTAGCTGGGCATGGTGGCGTGTGCCTGTAATCCCAGCTACTCAGGAGGCTGAGGCAGGAGAATTGCCTGAACCCAGGAGGTGGAGGTTGCGGTGAGCCGAGATCGTGCCATTGCACTCCAGCCTGGGCAACGAGAGCGAAACTCCGTCTCAAAAAAAAAAAAAGAAAAAAGGTTTTGTTTTGTTTTGTTTAGCATTTCACTATAATGGTATCATGCATATCCATAGAGAAATACATAATTTTGGCCAGGTGCAGTGGGTCATGCCTGTAATCCAGCACTTCGGGAGGCCAAGGCAGGCAGATCATGTGAGGTCAGGAGTTCAAAACCAACCCGGCCAACATGACAAAATCCCGTCTCTACTAAAAATACAAAAATTAGCCGGCATGGTGGCATACACATATAATCCCACCTACTCAGGAAGCTGAAGCAGGGAGAATAACTTGACCCAGGAGGCAGAGTTTGCAGTGAGCCGAGATCGCATCATTTCACTCCAGTCTGGGCAACAGAGAGAGACTCCGTCTCGAAAAAAAAAAAAAAAAAAAGAAGACATACATAACTTTGTTTTAATTTTTAAATAAAGAATGATCACGAGGTCGAGAGATCAAGACCATCCTGGTCAACATGGTGAAACCCCGTCTCTACTAAAAATACAAAAAAAAAAAATTAGCTGGGCATGGTGGCGTGTGCCTGTAATCCCAGCTACTAAGGAGGCTGAGGCAGGAGAATTGCCTGAACCCAGGAGGCGGAGGTTGCGGTGAGCCGAGATCGCGCCATTGCACTCCAGCCTGGGTAACAAGAGTGAAACTCCGTCTCAAAAAAAAAAGAATGATATACTTTACTGTCCTTACATGTATATTATGGATATTTTTCCACATCCATATCCAGAGTTCTGCCATTACTCTTTTGAACTGCTGCATGATATTCCACATTATAGATGATTCTGTGTTTATTTAAACAATCCCCTCTAACTGAACATTTGTGTACATGTCAGGCAGAGTTGCAAGCACTGAAAACAGACTTGCCTAATAGAAACAGAAACTAGATTTGTTGGAAGGAAACTAGGCTGAAGAACTGACAGGAAGAAAAGGGGCTACAGAACAGGAAACCCAGCTGAGGTGATGCCATCCAGAGCTGTCCACAGCAGCAGGCTCCCCTCCACTGACTGCCCATTTATCCTGGGGGTTTGTCACTCCCTGGAAAGACAGAGTCTTGAGTTGAGAACATCTGGCAAGCCGAGTCTAAGTCTCTCATGCCTCCACTGTCTGCTAGGAGGAGAGCCTTGCCTCCCACGAGAATTCTCCCCATGGAGAAACCCCCAAAGAGGGGAATAATGAAGAGACACATGTTTCCTACAAATCATTCTCAATTTTTTGTTTCTCAGGTCTCTTTATGTGCACAACCACCTGTTTGTGCACTGGGGAAAACTTAATGCCTCATGGATGGATCACCCAAGAGTTCAAGATCAGCCTGGCCAACATTGTGAAACCCCGTCTCTACTAAAACTACAAAATATTAGCCATGAGGCATGGTGGGCACCTGTAATCCCAGCTACTCAAGGCAGGA